GGCCTGAGTTATATAGGCAGGGGAAGGGGGAGATAATTCACAATACATTGAATGTTAACTTAGGGAAGCTTCCTTGCAACAATCTCTTCTAAGGCATGGGGTATTGGCCACTCATTCCTGTCTCCTTAGTGGAATAAAATCAGGGATGGGGCTGGGGGTTGTGGGGTTTTGGGTTTTAGGTTTGTAGTGATTGTTTTCCTGGGTTTTTTGGGTATTATTTGCGTAAGAATGGAGGGTTGTTTCTGGTCATTAAAAGAGGACAGGGCTGGGTATTATTTATGGGTATTTTGGAGTTATGGCTTTGAGTTATTGTGAGGGAAACATGGGCAGGAATGGTTGGCTAGTGGTGGGTCAGGATTTTGGCCCTTTGTGGGTGTTTATGTTGGGATTGTGAGGTTTAATTGACCAGGAAATAAAAGGAAAGAGAGAGTTTTATTTGTTTATTGGAAAGGCTTGGAAGAAGGAAAATAACACAAACAAAAGGCTTTGGTTTACACATTCTTATTTTGTCCAGGGGCTTAAATAAGAGTAGGAAAAACTTTATTTTGAAATGAAGTAAATGGCAAGAAGTTTTGAATATTTTGGGTTGGGTTGGACGGAGTGGGAGTTGGCCTGTCGAACCCTCGGGTCCGAAGCTATTCTGGCCTCTTGGGTTGAAGGACTCGAAATTCTCACTAAAACGGATCATAATGCTTGAACTTAAGTCCTCTGGTTTCTGCGGGTGTAGGACATGGGGGAGGGTATGATAAGGCCAGGCCCGGATATAACACTTCACGTGAAGTTCTACCTGAAGAACCAACTTGTGATGAGGAAGAAAAGAGCCCTGTTGACGTGAACGGGAAAGATGTCTTTGACTTCCAAGTTGAAGATAAAGAAATGTGTCAATGCATTGAGGAAGCAATGTACACTGCCCGTTCCACAATCACAAACTCCCACTCCCAAAACCATCCCAGAATTACCACAACAATACTAGCAGTGCGTCAGTTCACTTCAGTAGCAAAACCCCACCGGCAGTGTAAAACGCGCCAGATACACACGGTCATCATCTCATACCCTAAGCATCGCAAACACTGCCAAACACCTTATACTGAAAAAATGACAAAAAATGTTACACCAATGCAATATAAAACTATCATCAAATCACGGATAAATTGTAACGCAAGCACCCATTCCGAAAAAATATACTAACATCCAAAAACTCCACCACCAAAACCTACTACAGCTGAACATGGAACACCACAAGACAGTGTGTCTGGCCAATAAAAATTAAAAAAAAACCCTTAACGAATCCACACAAATACCATACTCCCAAAACACCAAAACCACAAAGCATACTGAAAAAACATGTCCATTCATAACTCCACGCCAAGAAATAAAATCATGACATGATTAGGTGTCTTTGGCTTGCTCTTTTCACTCATTACTGTAGACAATGAGTTCCGTAGTCATCTTCATCCGGTATCCCTCCATATCGCGGGAGTGCACCTTAGAAATGTCTCGGTCCATCATTAAGTATTCAGCAAACTTCAACATGAACATTCCACAGTTGCACCTGCATTTTTAAAAATAACCATTAACACTACTAATCACCTAACTATTGTGAACTAATTCAAATTCAACTGAGCTCACTCTACACAAACTGAAAATTTTCCACATACCCATCATTTTGTTGGGGACACCCATCAATGACATCGATAGAGAACTTCCGTTTCCCCATCGGCCCACCAGAGTGCTCGTCACACACACTCAATAAATCAAGTAGGACTGGCAGCAACTCTGTGATACACTGCACATATTCATTCAATGCCCGGCATGTTTTTCCCTTTTTCCCTTTTGAATCATATACCCGTATAGTCCTTCCTTCAACTTCTAGGACCAGCAATACCCAGTGGTCACCTGTATTTAAGGGCATATATACGAAATCACACTCAGACCATGGCCTAGAATATTCACGCGCCAATCCCTTCACCTCAGTAGTTAGATTCATATTATTGATGACATCCTCCTTCTTGGCCTTGCCCACATTCACCATTTCTTGGTGTTTATACAACCCTTGTAAAAAATAAGGGGTGGTTGTTGTGTACGTTTGCAAGAGGTCATACTGTCTGCCCTTCACTTCCAAGAAATACATTGCTATTTCAACATGCTGTATAACAATAAAGAACACACAGAAACAAGTAGTCAAAGACAAACGGAAAACAAACCCCATCTCTAAACGATACAGATCTCACAGAGGGAACAAACATTTAACAAACAGAACACACTGCCAAAACATTACCCCACGAGGTACCTAACAATGCACTGCCACAACATAAAAACACCCCCACTGCCCACATATGCCATACAAAGTGCCCACACTCCCTGGAATACATGGATAAAACAGTCTACATTCACTGAACTGCTACGGCCCCATCAAATAGCTCACTCGCGCCATATACAATGCTTGAATCCTTCTAAAAACCATTCTCACTGACACAATACTAACATAAATCCTAAACAGAAACATAACTCCTTCATTCGCAACCAACAAAGCACCCGTTCATATCATACCACAAACACTGTAATGTATTCCAAATTTAATAACATCCCACAGACAAAAAGTCTTTTCCCATTTCGTCTTAAAATAAACACCCAATAACTTAAAAAAGTAAAAAAGCATATCGTGCTGCATAACCATTCTGTGTTTGTAAATAGCTCATATAGCCATGTCTTGTTATCCACAGAAAAACCATCTAGCATAATGGGATCTTTCGACATGTTCTCCACCTTGCTCGTGTACCTACATGTCCTGTTCCCCCGTCCGTGCCTTTTCAACAACCCTTCATTCAAAAATCCTCTGACCTTCTCTATTTCTTCATCCGCAGGCATCTCCTTCGAATCCTTCGAAAATGACCCATAGCACACAGCTGTCCTATCACGGGTATGACGTTGCCTAGCACGCTCCATCCGTTCTAGCTTGAGCCTTTTCCTCTCTTGCTCGACCTCCGAGGGAGTATATCTTTCAGGACTTTTGTGAACCCTTTTAGGGCGTTCAATCTCAACGCATGCACTGTTGGTATTTGAAGCAGTAGAAAACGCCTAATAAAAAAACAACAAACGTCACAGGGGGAAAACAATTATATTGTAGTACACAAACCCACTGCCAGAACCTTACTATGCCTAGTTATTAATTCAGATTTTAGAATGGTGAATCATAATTTTCCCATTATAACTACAGCTTAAAAAACTAACCACCACAGGGTCTTCAACACCTTTCACTCTCTGCTCCCCACTTCCCACCCGGCTGCTTGTAAATATTCGTTCAAAATCGTCGTCACCCATGCTGACCTTCTGTGCGCCTACATTGACATGATGCCCCAGTTTAACCTTGTTTGAACCACTTGACCCCTGTGAAATTACAATGTTAACTATATGTTGCCACAAACGGTAAAAAGCATTCGAGGCGAAACACATATGAAAAACCACATTACTGAAAGGGTATGTATTATTCTTTTCCCAAATATATATACATACATGCCCAACCCCCAACGCAGCATCATCGCCTACCGGTACTTGCACAGGAGTTGGCATTGTAATGTCTCCTTATTTAATGGCAGGCTCACCAGCATCTACACTTTCCTTGCACATTCCATCCTCAGCACACTGACCCTCAACCCGTTCACACAAAACCAGAGCAACCTGTCATACAAAACCAAATACAATTCAAATATCATTATGACAAAACTCACATTCACATACTTGGAATAAAAAAACAAAAGCATATGAACTCAAGACTTTACACTTCTGGCTTTCTGTAGAGAAATAAGCATCCCTTCGGTTTCCCTGTCAATACGCTCGAGGTCGTGGGGATCGTACTGTGTCTCAGTGTAGGGAATATCCAAACACCTCCCCTGATTTGCATCATCACGACCTTCTGCCACCGGATCAATACCAGTTTTATTAACTGGCATGTCATCACCAATCGCATCTTCTTTCGGCATTTGGGTCAGAAGTTCAAACGATGGCCCACCGGCATCAAAACTCAGCTCTATATCATCCCCAGATTTAACTCCACCATGTGTATTCCCACCACCAGATGGTCCTGCCACTTGGACCTTAACTTCCTCATTGCCCCCCATTAATGAGCCTTTCCCTGATGCAGAACCAGCTTCGACAGACACATTTTTTTGTCTCAGAATGCCTAAAATCTCATCAAGTTTTCTTTCCTGCACCGCCTGTTTTCCCTTGATCTCTTTAATCTCCTCTAGTATATTTTTGGAAGCTTTGTAATCTTCATGTTTATAGGTTATACTTTTGGAAGTGCAAAACAACCGCCTGAATCTCCGAACACAATAACCAGGAAGCATGCAACAGAGTATGATAGCATATCTGGCGCCTGATTAGCCGTCCTCAATAACCTTTTCTCTAGGGTTTTCATATCCCCGCCTCTCCTCCACTGCTTTCTTCCTCCATCAACGCGACCCGACCCGCGACCTCAACTTGTAACGCCGCCACCACCTTTGGTGCTCCTTAGATCTTCATTCTCTATCGTTTTCGCCGGATTTTCGCCATCGTCACTCCTCGTCATCTTCGCTCAGGGGCGGAGGAGGGGGGGCATGCTGGGGCAAGTGCCCCCCCGGCGAAGTTCCGGCGAAATAGAATTATGGTACCCTCGGCGATGGGAGGCCGGATTTGCCCCCCAGATCAGTCGCAGCGAAGAACTCCCTGCGGGCAGACGGGCAGACGGGCAGAGTCCAGCGAAGAAGATGAACTGATGCGGTATTGCGGAAGAAAAAATTACAAAAGGAAACGACGTCGTTTTGCTGAATGGGTTTTAAAAAATCTATTTGACCCAGCCCAACAATCCACGACCCAGTAGCCCAAATCTCCAAATGCCCAAATAATTAAAAAAACGGATGATGAGACTTGAGAGGATGAGGATTGAACAAAAAAAAACACGGAGGCTGCTGATTGCTTTGAACTCCAAAGACCACTACTCCAGATTCCAGATGGGCGAAGGCTTCTCAAGGACCGACTCTCATTATCTAGGTATTATATGTAAATTTTAATTTTTGAGATTTGTTTCTTAATATTTGAAGGTTTTGAATATTGCTAAATTAGGTTTTGAATTTTGAATATTTATTTTGTTCTGTAGTTGCAGTGTGTTTGTTGATATTTAAATATTTGATAAATGTTAATGTAATTTCAAGTTCTAGAGATTAAGATATATGAAATTGTTGTTTTAAGGTTATTCATACTTTATTTAAAAAGACATGGAGTCAACATATGATTTTCCCGCCCATACGTTATGACAATTACAAATGGCAATTGTGAACTTAAAATGGTAAGTGGCCTTAATTATAGTAGTAATTACTATAACGTATGGAGAACGTGATTGAACTAAAAAAAATAAAATGATGTTATTAAAATGGTAAGTTCAATCACACATGGCGTAGTGATAGGCTTATGTAAGTGGTTTTTACACACAATGTCTTTGTGAACGTGATGTTATTAATCAAAAAAATTATTATTATTATTAATCTAAAAAAATGATTTAAAAGTTATAAATACAGTTCTTTTTTAATTATAGTTATAATTATTATAATTATTATATTTATAATAATTATATAAAAGTTAGTTAAAATGGCCGAAAGGTAAGTTAATAATTGTGAATTTATATGGTAAGTGGCCAAAATTGTAAGGTTATAATTATTATGTTTATAATAATTAACGTATTGAAAATTGGAAATAATTAAAAAAGGTAAGTTATAAGATTGCAAAGCGCTTTAAAAATATTGATGAGAGGTCAGAACTATTGATGTTGAAACTAAGAGCGGTAAAAGTTTAATAACAACGAAACAGTAAGGTGGGAAGGGAAATATGTTTCGATTTTTATTTAAATGTTATGCCAATTAATGGTAAGTGATAAGTGGGAATATGTTTCTATTTTTATTAAAAAAAATATGTTTTAGTATGAGCATTAAAAATGTTTTTATTTTTATTTAAATACATTAATATGTTTTATTTTTAATAACACCGAAAACAGTAATTCGAAAAGGTTAAATGTCAGTTAAGGACTTAAGGGTAAGTGTTGCTATGGTAATTTTGGATTCTATTAGTTAATAATTATATGGTAAAGGGGAATATGTTTCTATTTTTATTGAAAAATTACTGTTTTCGTATGAGCATTAAAAAAAGTTTCCATATTTATTTAAAATTTATTACCATTTTTAAGTTTAAAATTTCCATTTATTTAAAACTTTATTTAAAATAGTTATTACCATTTTTTCAAGTTTAAAATTAATTCTTATTAGTTATTACCATTTTGATCTAAATGTAAAAATAATAATGTACACTTGGATTTTTTATTTTATTCCACGGGTAATAAATGTACTTGGAATAAAATTTCCAAAACATTAACTATTTTTGATAATATGAAAAGAAATGAATAAAATAACAAAAAATGGAAGTTCTCTATAAAAGTTCATTTTTATCGTTAAATGAAAAAAAATTACCCGAATAAAAGTCTCTTTATAATGTATTTAAATGGAATCATAAATTATGAATATGATGTATGAATCATTCTACTTTGGGAATCGCGAATGTTTTATTTTTATTTTTTAATATTTAGGGGAAATTGGCTACATTGTACATTGTGAACTGATAATCTTTATCTGGTGATCGATGGTCTCAACAAAGTTGTATCACCGTCTCAAATTCCGGTGATACAAATGGTGAAACCTATCATTAAAAAAATTGGACACAAAGATTTAATTGTCTAAAGAGTGTTTTTTTATATTTTAGAACGAGTTTCGATTACACAAATATTTAAAGGTCTAACGAGTGTATGATAATTGTTTATTTTACTGAATGAAAAAAATATTGTTTTCATTGTCAATAAAAAAGGAGTAAAATGCCAACAAAAAAAGACATCAAACAAAGACACTACAAGCATTGCTTTCTGTAAAAACAAATCACTGCAAAAAATTTTAGTTTCTTTTTATAAATGCTCCTTTCTTTTTATGGAGTATATATATCTCCACTTTATTAGCAATTTGACAAAATCAAAAAAAACACAATTAACTCTGAACAAATTTTTTAACCAGAGTTTTGATTAATGTTATTTATAGTTTAATCATAGACAAATGTATGTTGTAGTTTCAAGAGTAATATATCATAATTACTTGAAAATTCTAATACGCAACGAAGACAATATTTTCATAAATTTATACGAGTAATGTGAATTATAAAGTAGTCTTTCAAATATGGTAAATCATTTAACTTTTGTAACTTAAAAAAATGAAATCTCTATATTCCATTATATACTAATTTGTGACATTCAAAAATGATATTAATATAATTTAGTAACTTAAATATGACCCGTGCAACGCACGAGTGTGATACTAGTTGATATATAACCTTAGGTTTTAATGTTTTTGTTAATTGCTTTTACTTTTATGTTTTAATTATTGAATACTCCGTATTTGTTTAAGTAATTTTGATTTTGTGTTTTGTTTGCTTTTGGGAGAGATGATTATTAAGTTCGTCATTTTTTAGATTTGCAATAAATTGTTGTGTTTAATTAATGATTTATTATTGATAGTGTTAATTTGTTATTTTATTATGTTATTAGGAATTCTTGATATTGTTCTTTACTTCCTTTTTGGAGACTTAGAGAGATTATTAGGGAGTACTACGCATTTAATATCCATTTTCCCATTTGTTTTGGTTTTATGTTCCATAAAACAAAGGTTTTTGCTCAATTTAAATGTACCTAACTTTTTTTTTGTCGTTTCATATTAACTTTAAAAAAAAGTTTAGCCCCGAATCCCCCTATTGTGCCCCCCACTAGTGCGCTCCCGGCTCCGCCACTGTCTTCGCTATTCCATCGTCTTCCGTCTTCACTACTCCATCTTCTTTCGTCTCTGGTGGCCCGACCCGGCAAATTGAGGAGCAGCACTAATTCCGGCAGTTCATTCCTTCTTCAATTAACTCGTTGTACCGAAAATTAGGCCTAATAGCTCTAAACCCCCCCTCCCCCCGTGGTTTGAAAAGTAGGCACAGAAACCCTCCCTTGTTTTTAATACTTACTCCTAAAATTCCTATGATTTCTAAAGGATGCACACTCGCCCCCCAAAATTATTTTCCGTTCAGTGACCGGCAAAGAATATGAAAAAGACATATATGCCCCCATTGGTTTTCTCCTTTTAAATTTTGAAAGCCCACTTAATTAAAAAAACTTCAAAGTAGACCAAGAGTCAATTATCTTAAAAAAAATTGAAGAAGAAAATCATCCGAAGGAGTGGAAAACCCTGCAATTGCCGGCTAAAACCCAATACCCTAAATCGACGCAGTGGACGAAGCAAATACGGCTATCCATCTCCGATTTCTTGATTCTCCAGGTGGGGGAGTTATTTCTAGATTTTATTATCAAATCTCCTTGACTCTCCAAGTGTAGTTATCCATCATCCGATTTTTTCTCTGGATCACATTTTTTTAAGATTTTTTTTTCTTTTTATATGGTTTCCCATTTGTGTTCTATATGGTTCCTTAGATTGTGTTTGTTCTATTTCTAATAAAAAAAAAATTTAAAAAAAGATGAAGGGGTGAGGGGAGTTTCAAAAAACAGTAATAGTATTGAATCAAAATTGGGATGGATAGTGAATTTATTTCATTATATTAAGGCCAAGTAACAATGACAAACAAGCAGAAACAAAAAACCAAAGAAGAAGAGGAACATCTGATATTATCTTTCTAATGACAGCATACTCTCTCAGGTAAAATATTTGATTATCTTTTTTTAACAGACTATCTCTCTTAGCTTTTTACACAATTTTTAACATATGCTAAGTTAATTTGTTTTGTATGGAATACAGCAATCTACACGAGGTGAAATAGTAGAGTGAACATCATGTATTTTGTTTACTCGTGCCAGAGGTTCAATCTTGTTAACTCCACTTGGTGAAATAGTGGAGTGAACTTTGCCAGAGGTTCAACATTGTGTACTTTGTGATGTCTTGGAGACTTGGAGTGAACATCATCTACTTTTCTTTGTTTACTTTTGAGATTTTGTTGTGTATGTGGCATTTTTGGAACAAATTCACTATTTTTGTGATGTTTTGTAATGCTACTGCGAATGCTTTTTTGGAACTAGTTGATTGATTAATCTCAATTTATTTTTCTTAATTAAAAATTATCAATAGTTTGACTTTGATATGCAATACCAATAGGTTGTGTTGATACAAATATAATATCAATAGTTCTTTTTAACGTAGTTTTTTTTCATTTTTTTCTATTTTCATTTCATTATTTCCTTATTTTCATAAGGATTTTTCAAAAATTTCTTTTCAATTTTTAATAATGTTTTCATAAATAAATGATATAAAAAAAGTAATTTCTTATGTTTTTTCAAATTAAAATAAAAACTTGGGACATGTAAATAACAAATAGGAAATGAAATACAATAAAAAAATATTGAATATTGAAAAATTGAATATTGAAATACAATAAGAAATGAAAAATTGAATAAGATAAAAAGTATTATACACAAGAAAATGTCACCACCTTAAAAATAAAAAAAAAAGACACTTTTAATGTTCTAAAAAACCAATAACGTTATAAGGAATATTGAAAAAAAATAAAAAATTAAATGAAGGACATTTTTGTCATAATAAAATAGATTAGTCACATGGTAGCCCCCTATGCTTTGAAAATGGAGCACTAATGCCCCCCTTTATCAAATTCCCAGCCCATTCACCGGAGTGTACGATGCACGCGCCTCAAAAAATCCGATGGGGAGTATAGATGCTGCTTTTAGAAACCATAGGGATTTTAAGAGTAAGTATTGAAAACAGGGGAGTTTCGGTGCCTATTTTCCAAACCACATGGGGTTTAGAGCTATTAGGCCCCGAAAATTAGGTACAGCCAATATAAATATAATATATGGAGTAGTATAGTTAATTAAAAACAGTCAGATTTACGGGTTTTCTCTTCCTCTCTCCTTTCTTTCACCCAAAAACATGCTTAAAAATCTAGGCTAATCTCCAAGCTCCTTCAATAGCAATGGAAGCTCTGCACTGCTCCTTCGTCTACTCCATTCCATTAAAACCCCCATCACGGAGCTCCTTCAAGAACCCAAAATTCAAACGACCCAAACTTTCATGCTCCCTCAGGCCCGACCCGTGGACCCTTAGCGACGGCAACGACAAGAACCTCAACAAGCCGAAACCCAGGCACAAGAATCCCAAAAACCCACTGTCGGACGACAACGCGCGCCGCATAATCAAAGGCAAGGCCCGATACTTAAGCGCCTTGAGGCGCAACCTGGGATCACAAGTTCAGACCCCTAAGTGGATCAAGAGGACGCCGGAGCAGATGCTGCAGTACTTAGAGGACGACAGGAATGGTCGCTTGTACGGAAAACACGTAATAGCGGCAATCAATGTTGTTCGGAGCCTTTCCTCAAAGCCTCAAGGGTCGTATGACATGAGGAAAGTGATGGGTTCTTTTGTTGCAAAGTTTACTTTCAGAGAGATGTGCATTGTGCTGAAAGAGCAAAAGGGTTGGAGACAAGTCAGAGACTTCTTCTCGTGGATGAAAATGCAGGTGCTGTCTCAACTTCTTGCATTTTTTCATCCTTAAGTAAGTCTTGATGCAAATCTACTTGCCAATTCTTAGGGTTGCTGGCCTTGAGATTTTGATGTTTCCAATCGTTTTATATGTAGTGAAAGACCGTAGCCCGACCTGTTAATGACTGGTCGATATATATATATATATATATATATATATATATATATATATATATATATATATATATATATATATATATATATATATATTAATTTGGCACTGTGTGTATTGATCTAAATAGCCTATAGCCCTAGTTAATGGAGCAAGCTATAAATTTTTTTAGTTAATTACAATTTGAGAGAAGTCCTCTCTGTTAATTACTGTTATTGTGATTTGAGGCGCTAGTAGGCCGTCACCCATTACATAGTAGAAACACAATAAAAGAGAAACTAGTATTAGAAGGAGATAATAATAAGAATTGTACTCTACCCATCTCAAGTCAAAGTTCCCATTTAGTTTTTGCAAAAAATTTAATAATGGTGAATTTGTATGGTTGAGATTTATGCAAAAGGTAATAATATGAACCACACAACTCTATCTTTAAATAAAAATGAGAATTATATTTTGGGTCGTCCTGACGAATGGGAACTTAATTTTGGACAGAGGGAGTATTGCTTATGATATAAACTGATAGTTTGATACTCCGTAGTCTGTAGGAAATATGAGAAGCACACACCATTATCTAGGGTAATAGGAGGATGCTAGGAAAGTGGTGTGTGTGTGTGTGTGTGAATGAGGTGTGAAATGTATTCAACCTTATAATGCATGTGCACTCCTCCTCAAGTTGAAACGACTTATGTTTCAAACATGGATTAATACAAAAATTCACAACCCTAAAAGAAAATACAGCCCCTCTGGGAATGTCAAATGTTTGAGCCATTCCAAACATGATTACTAGATATTTGGGCCAAACTGGATTGCCAGATATTGAACCGGGGACTGCTGAATTTTTTTCGGAGTAGGCAACACTAGCTTCTCTCAAGTTGATAAGGTTTCTGGAAAGAGGCCGATTGAGGCTAAATTTATCTCATTTCAGAATGACTCTTAGGCAAGACCTCTGGTGGGTGATTGTTACACTATAATCCGTCTGGACACAGTTCCAATGAGTACCCAAACAGAAAAGGTGTGAACATTGTAAAGTGTGATGAAAAGGAGGGGGTGTCTGAACCTAATGTTAAAGAAATTATGAAGAAGAGGATGATATTAAGTGGCATAAACTGTAATACATTTGATGTACTATTGGTGGATGGGCGTTTGATTTGTTGATGGTGGGAGCTGTGACGAATACAACTCTCTGTTGAAAATTTAAACCTATGTTATGGGGTGGATAAAGTCTGTTGAATGAGAAGATAAAGGTCAAGTGTCCATTGGCAAGTACCGAGATGAGGTCTACAATCTACTTTGACTTTCTACACATGGATGCATCACCAATGTTGTTCTGCAAAACCTGGCGGTATGATTCTGATGCACCACAACTTGATGCACCACAACTGGGAAAGATAATTTGCATAGTTTGGAGAAGGGTGGTGTAATATACACTTCCACAACTTGATGCACCACAACTGGGAAAGATAATTTGCATAGTTTGGAGAAGGGTGGTGTAATATACACTTTGCTGCTCCTTAGGGTAACAAACGGCTCTAAAGTTGATATAGCTGAGAAGTAGCCCTTTGTGATCATTACCTGTTCAAGAAAGGAGAAAGGAGACTGAGGAAACTGATAGAATTTAGGATGAGGTAGGGATCACTGGATTGGGCAATAAGACATTTAGGCTGAATCACATTAAAAGATTGAATTCAATCGTTTACTTAGTTCAACTCAAGAGTTTATATACTCATTATTTTCTTCACACTTTTTTGACGTTAGAGACTCTTTAACACTCCCCCACAAGTGGACGACCGGGCCATTTTGAATCTAACCGGTTGACCACTTACAAATTGACTCCCATCTTCTTGATTTTTTTTGAGCGCCAACACCTAAAGGACCACGAGCCGCTGGTATGGACTTCGAGACGAGATATCGGGTTAAACAGGCCTCTGGCCGTTGGATATACATTCCACACGGACAATTGGGCTAAAGACTGGGGCCGCTAGGAACGAACGTCTAGACGGACACCTTAACAAACGAGGTGGGCTAAAACTGACTCCGATACCATGATAGAATTTAGGATGGGGTAGGGATCACTAGATTGGGCAATAAGATACTTGGGCTGAACCACATTAAAAGATTGAATCCAATTGATTACTTAGTTCAACTCAAGTGCTTATATACCCATTATTTTATTCACACTTTTCTGATGTGGGATACTCTTTAACAGAAACCGTTAGTTGGTCTAGGGT